TGCTTTATAATAATAATAAAAAAAAGATTTGCTTAATGTTTCATGAGTCAGCCGAGCAAGCATCTCTGTCATAAGACTATCTTGCTGTCAAAGACTTGCCCTGATGCAATTCTAACTTTCTGATTTTTCTTAGGTTGGGATGGATTTTACGTTCTAACATATACTTAATGTGCTATGGATTATTTATTCCAAAAATATTTTTATTAAGCCCCCATCAATTGTTAGTGTCTTAGACATTAAGAAGTATAGTGAGTTGAATTTTTTTTAAGATAGCTGTTTTATTAATGCATCTTCCTGTGTAGATAAGCAAAGAAGACTTCGTGTGTAATGACTGTAAGGTAGTCCATCATCTAGCTGTATAAGAATGGGTGCAACTAACCAGGCATTGGTGGCGCATGCCTTTAATCCCAGTACTAGGGAGGCAGAGGCAAGCAGATCTCTGTGAGTTCGAGGACAGTCTGGTCTCCAGAGCGAGTGCCAGGATAGGTTCCAAAGCTACACAGAGAAACACTGTCTCAAAAAACCAAAAAAGAAAAAACAGAAAAAAAAAAAAGAATGGGTGCAACTAGACTCTGCCTTTTAGCATTAAAAAAAAAGTCTTGGCCTGGCCAATTGCCCATGGCTGAGACAAAGGTCAGATGAGACCCTCACCTCATGCTTTGAGACTCTCACAGCAGTACAAGAGGGTGATTAAAAGGCCTCTGCCCACTGGGAGCCCACAATGGATATGAATCATACACAAACTCACTCACATGGGGCAAGGCCTGTAGCAAGCACTGACTGAGGGGCAGTATCCCTGCTACTGCAGGAAATTCCTGGGCAGGAAGGAAGACTCCGTGCAGCAGGCATATGGCCTTTAGGTGGGGCCACAGACGTGGGTAGGATTCTGCTTTGCTAGAACATTCTAAATATGAGCAAAGGGCAAATTAAGGTGAAAGAAGAAAGAGCAGAGGGCACAGGGATCTGCCTGCAAGAGTTTCTACTTGGGGAAGAAAGAAAAGCAGAAACACGAAAGGCGCATGATCCAAACACAGCTGCAGTCACTGGCCAAGAGTAGTGTGCTGCAGGGGAAAGGCAGGCTGGCGTTCACACCTCTGTCTTGTGTGGGACCAAGCTGCCCATCTCTCTCCAGGCAGTTTTCTAGCCTTCTATAGAAGCCACCCTCCCAGCCAGTGTCCACACCATCCATGCCATCAACCATACTCCTCCACCCCAGGAAGCCCCTGTCCGCTAAACTCCACTGGCTTCAGGAGAACACACCCATCACAGTTTGGTCCACATGTCCCACCTCAACTGTCAACTTTCCAGCTGACCTGTGCAGATCTTGTCTGCTGGGTCTGGGATCGGGGGCCCTGAAAGAATGGAGCGGACTACAGTCTAATGCTGTCAACAGCCTTACTTCAGTTTCAGTGTGCTTTTATGCATGAACATAACAAAGAAAGCAATGGAAGGAAACAAGGAAATCATTGAGTTTGAGTTCAGAGAAACATGCAAATAAAAACACTGATAAGCACATACTAAATATTGACATAGTAGCCCTTTCCAAGAACTTTCTCAGGACAGACCAGTTTTAACATGATTGCCTGGCTTATACTATGTAGATCATAACTACAAAAACATGGAAGCAAGGCAGAAGGCAGTCCACAGAACATGGACCAGATTGGGTTTTATAGCTCTGTTCTGACATCCAACAAGAATAAATGTGTCTTATAAAATGAATGTAAATGTTTAACACAGGAGGCACAAGATCTCATCCAAGAGCAATCCAGGGAACAAAGTGCGCCTGAGGTAAAAGGCCCTCCTCTGCCTTATTTCCTGGAGCCTCTCTCAAGTTCCCCAAGGCATTGTTCACCGTGTGTCATTCTTTTGACCATGTTCCAACACACAACTCCTATGGCATCTTTTCATTTGCCCTCTGGCCAAATTACACCAGACCCAGTGTCACACTCTGGATGTGTCAACACTGTAACGTGACCACATGCACCTGCCCTGACCCTTCTCCCTAGAGTTCCAAAGAGAGTGTGCTCCGTCTTCCCAGCCCACCTTCATCCCCTGGGGACTCAGCCTCTCTGGTGCAGACCCAGACTCCCCCTAGTTCTTCCTTGCCCCCCTTAGCCACTCTTCTGAGCCCACCTCCATTCCTTTGTGACATCCCACCAGCCTGCAAAACCATCTCTAGCAGGGACCTCACAGCCACGTTCACTCAGCTAGAACCCAGACGGATGCATCACTCTGCCCTCATCAGAGAAGCTTCTACTTGCAGAAGATGGGAATTAACTCAGAGACCCACAACTGGACAGTGTTCAGACAGTGAAGAGACCTTGGAGCACTTAGCCCTAAATGGAATGTCTTCATCAAACCTCACCCCTCAGGGCTTAGGGATCTATGGGGAAGACAAGGCAGAAAGATTGTAAGAACCAGAGGTAGTGGATGACTCCAAGGAAACAGTGTATGAACTCACAAAGACTGACCGCATGCACAAGACCTGAACAAATCCAAGCCAGACAAAATCCTAGCATGGAGAAGGGGGAGTAGACACAAAGCCCCACCCCAATCAGAAAGTTATTTGCAATTGATATCTGTAGGAGAGGGAAAATCACTGTTCTCCAGGAGTATGACACTGAGTATATCAGCCACACTCCAATGGAGGCCTTATGCACAGGAGTTGTTGACCAGCACACAACAGACTCAGTGGTTTGTGCATGTGTGTGCTGTGGTTTGGTTCTTTCGTCTTTTGGGGGTTTGTTTTGTTGATTTTTGGTTTGTTTCTGTGTGGAGGGAAGAGAAAAAGAACATGAAATATTGGGTAGGGAGGTTAGGACGATCTTGGAGAAGCTGGGGGAGGGGAAAGAATATGATGGAACAATACCAAAATTTAAAAACAGTAATAAATATAATAAAAAGACATACAGTCAAAATGAATGGATAAATAAGTGAAATAGAGAGGGTGGGCTCAGAGGCTGGAGAGATGGCTCAGAGGTTAAGAGCACTGACTGCTCTTCCAGAGGTCCTGAGTTCAATTCCCAGCAACCACATGATGGCTCAGAACCATCTATAATGAGATCTTGGTGCCCTCTTCCGACCTGCAGGCATACATGCAGGCAGAACATTGTATACATAATAAATAAATAAATAAATAAATAAATAAAGCTTTAAAAAAAAGAGGATGGGCTCTGGAGGTGGGCACCCTGCTTTGTGCTTTAAGCTAAGTTACTGAGCAAAGTCTGCCTCTCCATCTGTGAAATGGAGGTAACAAATACCCACCTCCTAGATTATAAAGATTAAATGGGTTCAAATAAACAGAACTTATTAGTTCTCACTGCACAGCAGGTATCATCAAATCTTAAATCTTACTGAAACAAGATCTTAAGATTTGGCTGCATAGCCAGGCAGTGGTGGCGCATGCCTTTAATCCCAGCACTTAGGAGTAGAGTCAGGTGGATCTCAATGAGTTTGAGGCCAGCCTGGTCTACAGAGTGAGTTCCAGGACAGCCAGGGCTGTTACACAGAGAAACCCTGTCTTGAGAGAAAAAAAAAAATGGCTGGATATCACAGGCATGGAGAATAAACAACTCCCCCTTCTGGGCATGTAGATTATTGTCACAGTGCTTATTTTATCTCCTTGTGATAGAAATTCATCAACACATCAACATGACAGGACTCCCAGCTCCCCCTGTTGCTCTGGAAGTGAGACTGGTCTGGTCTGCATGAGGATCAATGGAAACTTCACAGACACCATGATTAGTGCGGCTGCATAGTCAGGATAAAGTAAGGTCTGCTGTGATAATAAAACACCCCCCCCGGAGCTCAAAGACTCCAGACAGCAAAGATTTCTTTCTCTCTCACAGTTTTGCTCTTCACTGACAGGTAAAGATTCAATGCCATATTGCCGTCAGTCAGGGACCCAGAAAGACAAAGTACATACTCTCTGGAACACCACCAATCTCGTGGGCAAAGGGAAGAGAGTGTGGCAAAGATGGCTGCTTAAAACTGACACACATCTGTTTACATTTCCCCAGCCAAAGTGAATCAGACGAGAAAAGCTGTAAGTGCTCCTAAGACTAGAACATTGCTATCCAGCCTGATGCTAGCAGCCACCTAATTCATCTGAGGAATAAGCTGGCTTCCAGCATGTTTTGGCACCTTGCAGCAATGAGGGTTGAAGCAGTGAGTGGGTTGTAACTTCAGTCCAGAAAGAAGAGGCCCTGACATCTTGCTCAACGCCACCTCCACTGGAGATGGAGATCGCCGCCTGCAAGGGAAGCAGCAGCAGGGCATTTAATTAACAAGCTTGGACTCTGAGGCTCAGCCATCAAGGGTAGAGCAGACACGTGGCTTGAAAGGGCCACAGTGCTGGGCTGGTCCCCTGGCTTAAAGGATACCCACCTAGATCTTCACCTTCTTTATTACACTTATTTATTTGGGGCAGGACATCATGCACCACTGCCCAGGTGTGGAGGTCGGAGGACAGTGTGTATCCTAGTGATATGACTCAAGTCATTGGGCTTGGCAGTAAGTCTGTTTACCCACTGAGCCATCTCACCAGCCCAAGATCTTAATCTTCATTTACACATTACCCACAGCCCTCTGAATATGCAAGGTCAGCTGCACCTTGGGGAGCTAAGAGATCCTAGAACACTGCTTCTTCAACTGACAGGGTACCAAGGAGCCCTCTGCCTTTCCTCCTCTCTCTCTCTCTCAGCCCCAAGGGCTGCAACATGACTGTCCCAACTCGCCTGGGTAAGGACACCTGGTTGGCTTATCTAAGATGTACATCCTTGCCCTGGAAGGCAAGGGGCAAGCTCTTTCTTTTTGAGAAAGGATCTCTCCATGTAACTCTGGATGTCCTGGAGCTCGCTTTGCAGACCTAGAACTCACAGAGATTTACCAAGTGCTGGAATTAAAAGTATGCACCACCATATCTACCTATGAGGGTCCCTGCAGCATTGTTAGTTTTACCGCTATGCAGTAATATATGATCTTCCCAAAACAGATGGCCATGTGTTTACCAAAACTGGAAAAATGAATTTTATTCAGTTATCTGAACTGTAGCCAGGAGTGGGAGCCAAGTTCATCAAATGGGTTCTCACAATCACAGAGCTTACAAAACAACTCATACAAAGAGACAAGATGACTGTTCCCCAAAGTTACAAGTGTCCCTGAGCCTTGGGTCCTTAGAAGTCTAGTTGTAGGCACAGTGATGATGACCCTCTCCTGGAAGGTACTGTAACATGGGAAGATTGGTGGTGCTCTGGCCCTACATGCAAGCCCACATAAACAGGGCATTTCTACTGAGTCAGAGCCATCAAAGGCCAGCAAGGCCCTCACCACAGAAAAAGGGGTGGGACCTGTGGGATAAGGCATTCTCTCATGAAACTGACTGCCCCCTGTGGCAGGGGCTAGGGAACATAAGGCTGTACACAGTCATGGAAAAGACCGGGTACCTTGCCTCCATCTTTAAAATAGTCTGTCAGAACTGCATTTCCTTCTCTGGAATGTGCCTTCAAGCCAGCTGTGTTGAGAGGACTCAGGGTATCCCTGGTGCAGCACTTTCCCAGAAACAAATTTACATGGCAAGGAGAGCACACAGACCCCAGCTTCCTCCAAGTCATCCTGCGTCAGTGTCCTTAGGTCTCTCTCTACCCAGAGAACATGCTATAGCTAAGGGACCACAAAAGGGGGCCTCCCTCCACCTGGTACAATCCTGCAGGAAGGATTTTTCCAATGGCACATTTGACTCTAAGCTGGACCAGTCCAAATGCTAGGCATAAAGCAAGTCTTTCTTGCTTAGTTGAAGCCGTGGCTATCAGACTGTTCGCTCTGAAGTTGTCTTTCTTTTCTTTCTGTCTAAAAATGAATCACAGATGAGCCTAGTGATCAGGAAGCTGTTTGTGTTTTTCTCTTTCTTCTTCTCCCTCTCCCTCTCACCCTCCCATTCTCCCCACCTCTCACATTTGCATTTGCAATCAGCTCTCAGAAGATCCTGTTCTTGGAAGGCACTAGTTTGGGATCTGACTAGTGACTCCTGGCTGCATGGTTATCGAGTGCCCTGAAGGAAAGATCTTGGCCAATTTAGATAGTACCTCAAGATAAATTATAATTTACAGTCTACCCACAGAATGGTCCAGGAAAAGGACAATCCATTGATCATGTTGGCAATGTCAATTAGATAGAATTCCCAGATTCCTTTAACCAATTAGCTTGCTGAACTAAGGCTCCTTTGGGCCGAGGTCTTTCCGGAGCATGACCAGAGCTGCTCCAAAGGCTGCATCCACATCCTGCCCAAAGCACAGCGGCAAAGGGAAGGCCCTCTGGACCTCCTGCTTCAGCACCTCATTCCGGGACAGCGCACTTCCACTCCCCATCACCCGGTCCACACCCCACTCTTTGAGCTGTTGAAAAGGAAGCATGGAGTGCAAGTTCTGAACAATGCCTCTGCACAGGGCCCGGGTCACATGACCCAGGGAAAGGTCAGAGGAGGAGATTCTCGTCACAGAGGCCAGCTGGTCAGGCAGGTGCCTCTCACCCAGCACTGTTGGGGTGATGGTGAGGTGTGTGTCTTTCTGCTGTGCAGCCGCCTGGATCATGCGTGAATAGACAGTGGATTCTTCAACCTCCAGGCCTGTCAGAAATAGGAGATCTGTGTGAGACTATGCAGCTGCTAGAAGCATGCAGAGACTGTTTTTAGAATCCCCAGGGGGAAGGGACAGGTCTGTCTGCTGCTTCTCACACTGGCTGGAAGCTTCAGGGCTCAGAGATTGAGTCTGGCTAGCTAGGTTCTGTTCTAGATCCCAGTCATTTGTCTCCCTGTGGCCACAGCTAGACTTCTGGGAGATATTGTTGTGGATCCTAACCCTAAAGTGAGCATCATAACTATAGCACAGCTATGGGACCCTAAGGGACCAAACATAAACACCCACTAACAAGCATATCAGAAATGCTATTTGAGCTGTTAGCAGTGTCACTGCAATCCATGGATCCACACTAAACCACCCTTGCTATATGAATGAGACCTAAGCCATTCTCATTGTATGGATGTGTTACATGGGGCCCAGGAACAAGTGATATGTTTGCTATCTTCAACTGATTGATGTCAAGCCAGAGTCCTAGTCAGATTTTAGTTCCCTGTCCTATGTTATCTCTGCATTCTAAAAAACAAAATTATCTGGGTACAGTGAAACTCCAGAGCTCAGAAAGCTGAGGCAGAAGGATCACAAGTTAAAAGCCAACCTGGTCTATATAGTGAGACCCTCATCTCAAAAAGAGACTTAAAATATAAATAATAAGGAAGGCTGGTTTTTTGTTTGTTTGTTTGTTGCTTCAATGTACTTTCAAATTAGGCCACTTTGGGGCCTGGGACCTGGCTTGGTGGTAGAACACTTGCCTAGCATGATTAGAGCACTGAGTTCAATATCAAGCACCACAAAAATAAAAAAGGTTCTGATCTCTAACTTTCCATTAGCTGAAAGAGAACTTTGACGAGAAACGTTGCCCAGACTAGGGGCTCTTTACTAAGTATAGCTCACCACCATAGCCTGAGTTGCTCTCAAATCACTGTGGACCCACTCCCTTTGGTGGAACTGGCCTAGGCTACAGATTCTGAGGCATAGCCAGGTTAGACAGCCATGAGCCTGAGGCTGTAGGTGCTTCTGAAATATGAGTATGAAATATGAACACAGCTTCTGACTCGGGATACCTAGGTCAGACTGTGAAATTATGTATTTATGGAAAGCTCCCCGAGGCACGGTGTTGCTGGTCCCAATCAGAGAAGTGCAAATGCAATGGCATCAGAATCAGCCCATCTCCAGACTGAGTCAGCATCTCTGAGCATGGGGAGGTCAATACTGGGTCTTGTAGGGGTCTTGTGTGTGTACACATACATGTGTGCTATATGTACTTGTTCAGGTGGGTACATGAATGTGGGTGGGGTGCACATGTGTGTACGTCCAATTAGGGGGTAAGCAGATACTACTTTCTCTTTTACAGGTAAGAAAAACAGCCTCTTACTGACAGCACAGAGAGCAGCTGATAGACCCAATCCACTTATAGCAGTATCTGAATATAGGGTTTGCCTGGATGGTCTGAGGGCTCATTCTGCAACTCAAAACCTCCTCCTGGTTCTTCCTACAAAGAAACACTACGAGAATCCAAGCCAAGAAAATGAATTTACCCCTCAACCTGCCAAAACCAGCCTGCCAACTTGTGTGCAAAGCTAGTAGAAGCCTCCCATATGCCTTCTGCCTGTGCCTCTCCTGTTCCCATAGTTCATGTTTCCTGCAGTTACCTGACTTTGACATACATGTTCTAGTGATCACTGCACCTGACATGTTCCAGGGATCAATACACCTGGCATGTGCCAGGGATCATTGCAGCTGACATGTTTCAGGGATCATTGCACCTGGCATGTGCCAGGGATCATTGCAGCTGACATGTTCCAGGAATCACTGCACCTGACATGTCCTAGGGATCACTGCACCTGACATGTCCTAGGGATCACTGCACCTGACATGGGATCACTGCACCTGACATGT